GGAGTTTTGATGTCAGGCTGACTGGCCACCACCGAGGAAAGTCTCATGGATCTTTTCAAGATTTGCATGATCAGCCTCTAGTTATTCAAAGCAGCCGCTGGGCAAGCCTGCCCCAGAATTGCTATATGATGTTATTAGAAGGCTAGAGGAGAGGAGAGCACATGGCCTGCTCGAAAGCATGTTGTTGCATGTGCTGCAGTTTGCCGTCTTGGAGGAACATGTGCAAGGAAATTGTGAAGAGCCCAGAATTCTGTGGAAAGCTTACTTTCCCTGTGTCCCTGAAGCAGGTTTGCTTCACAACGTCTGCATTACTGATTGACCTGTTTGTTTGACTTATTGGTTACATTTCTGCGGAAGTAATACTTTTGGCTGAAGCAAAACCCTGATTCTTTTTCATTTTGACCTTTCAGCCTGGACCAAGAGACGGAATGATTCAGTGTTTTATCAAAAGAGATAAATCTAATTTAACATACCATCTATTCCTTTGTCTCAGCCCTGGTAAGTCTTCCTTGATACATTTGGTCATCTCTTCCATCCACATGCAATGACGTGCATACAGATCATGTTGTTTTCCAAGTTGTGATTCAACTGTTGTCCCTTTTTTCCTGTTTTTTCAAACTTCCAAATGACATCCTTAGAGATGCTTAAAGCATGGCATGTATACTTTGACATTAAGTCTCATATCAAGGTTTTTGACTAACATGATCATGAATTGCTTAGCAGCAAATTCATACTGTTGCTTCTCTTGATGCCTAAAATGGTATTATTTGGATGCCGAAGGGAAGTAGTAGAGAAGAGTTTTGAATGTGTCTTACTTATGTCGTGTTTAAGTTTGTATAGCATTCTCTCTTTTGCTGGCATTCACTCATGTCACTGAACATGAGAATCAGAGAAAGCTAGAATATGTCTGCATGTAATTTGATTTTTCCTACCATATTCTAATGCATGCTGAACTCATTGCTTATGCCTTTTCTTTCCTTTTTTGATATATTTTTGTTTCTTATTCTTTATTGCAGCTTTGTTAGTTGAAAATGGAAAATTTCTTCTATCTGCCAAAAGGACGAGAAGAACAACTTACACAGAGTATGTTATTTCCATGGATGCTGACAACATCTCCAGATCAAGTAGCACTTATATTGGAAAGCTGAGGTTAGTTCACTACTCTTATAAAGTGTTCAACATCGTTATGCTATTCTGTTTAAAACCGTTTCCTGAACTGACCTAAAAGGAAATTCTTATGGATTTAAACTTTGTCTTGTATCCTTGACCCCATATATGATAAAACTGTTAAATTGAAAAATCTGTGATCATGACTTGTGAGTAATAACCGAAGAAGACGATCTTTCATTTGGCATATGCTATCTCGTGTATGAAGGGTATTTTAGGATATTTTATTTGTTGTTTCAATAAATTATTTGCCAATTTTTCTGAGTTCGTTTACTAATCATGTTTATTAAATTTTTGTTGTTCTGATTTAAAATTGTTGGTCCCTCACACTGATTGGGAATGTTCTTTTGCTTTCATTCGTCAGATCAAATTTTCTTGGTACAAAATTCATAATATATGATACACAGCCACCATATACTACTGCCCAGATACCCCCTCCAGGGACCGGAAGGACAAGCCGAAGGTTCAATTCCAAAAGGGTCTCACCTAAGGTCCCATCTGGTACCTACAACATAGCTCAGGTGACATATGAATTAAATGTGCTGGGGACACGAGGCCCAAGGAGAATGCACTGTATGATGCATTCAATTCCAGTCTCTGCACTCGATACAGACGGCACAGTTCCTGGCCAACCAGAGCTGCTTCCTTGCGCCCTTGAGGATTCATTCCGTAGCATTTCCTTCTCAAAGTCTCTAGACCACTCCATTGAGTTCAGCAGTGCACGATTTTCTGACATTGGGGCATCCTGCAGCAACGATGAAGAGGATAACAAGATGAGACCCTTGGTTCTGAAGAACAAACCTCCAAGATGGCATGAACAGCTTCAATGCTGGTGCCTCAACTTCCGAGGACGGGTGACAGTTGCTTCTGTCAAAAACTTCCAGTTGATCGCGGCGACCCAGCCAGCTGCTGGCGCACCCACACCGTCTCAGCCGGCCCCACCAGATCATGATAAGATAATTCTGCAGTTTGGCAAAGTTGGGAAAGATATGTTTACCATGGACTACCGATACCCTCTATCTGCTTTCCAGGCTTTCGCAATATGCTTGAGCAGCTTTGACACCAAACTGGCTTGTGAATAGACCAATCAAGTATGAAGCAAAGCCTCTGATGAGAGATGGTATCCTTCCCTTTTCTTTTTCTTCTCTCTCTTTAATTTATTTCTTTCTTGCTAGTTGCTACCATTGTGATCAGAATTGGCCATTGTCATCACTCTCAGTTGTATTATGACTCCATTGGTCTAGTGCAAGCCCTGATGATGTTAGCAAGGGTTTTAGATCATTCTTAACTCCAAAATGTTCCCTTCTTAAATCTCTGGCTCTTCGAACAATGTATCAGAAATTGATTTTAGGTTGCGGTCGGTTCCTTCATGGTCCTGATGTGAATGAACACTCCTTTAATATGAATGTAGGCTCGCTTGTGACTCGCTAATCAGTGTGTTGGTCACACATAATTCAAACTTCCTTATAATATTTAGCTTTTATCTTTTACTCTTGTGAGAGTCTTTAAGGAAGTTTCAAATTATGATCAAATAAATAATGCATCAGGATGCATGTCTAGAAGTTTAAAGTGTTGAGATTTTTCTTGGAAATTGTGGTGGTTTGGAAATTAATGGAGGTTGGATGTAAATTCAGACTTTCTAATCTGAAGTTTGGATACTAAGCCATCGAAAACTAGCGACGGTTGAAATGGATTGTTCTTCATGGACAAGATCTAGGCAGTTTTTATTTGTTTGCTTTTATATGTAAATGTAGCTTCGCGATCTTGAGTATAAATTAAATTGAGGGTCCTCTTGCATAGTTCAAAGATGAGTTACCCTTTTATGGCTTATGAAGGGTGACATTTGATTTTATAGATTCTATATTATACATAGGTGTCAATTTGGAATTATTACTGTTTAATATCATTGTATAGAGTTTATTTAAAGAAATCATTGGTAGGATGTGGTAAAAAATCAAGGGAGATTTTATATGAGGTTTCAAGAAAAGGAAAAAAAAATTATCAAAAAGTTCTAATAATTAGTGAGTTGTTATTTTATACACTAAAATTTTTTATTATGTTGTTACTGGGATTTTTTTTGTAATTATATATATTTTTAGAATTTTATAACAATTTTCTGAAAAATTCAATCATCAATGAATATATCAAGTTATGGAAGTTATATTGTTTATTAGTCATGAATAACAATTTTTTTTCTAGGACAATTATGGTATGAAAATATCCGAGTTAGATTTTCTATCCACATGATTGGATCATTTCCTTTTTTTTTTTTTAAAAAAAAAAGAGGGATTAACAGTTGGGGGAAAAAAAATCATAATACCTGTGTATCTTTCTCCAACCCGTCATTATCAAAGCTTATAGAATGTCTAAATTCAGTTAGTTGACAAAGCCCCTTTTATTTTTCCCATTTGAAATTTGAAACACGTGTTCATACATGATTCATTTGATCTGGATCCAACTTTGACAGCCTTTCTTCTTCACGTAATTATCACCAAGATGTCAATTTATTGAAGTATGGTCTCTTACGGCAGTAAGATTTTTTCATTAAAAATGATTTAGACTATAATGGATGAAATTGTCAACACAATTGACATGTATTGTTAACTAGACTTGAAATATTTGGTGGGGAAATAGTAAATACTACACGTGAAATGGTTCGGAAAACAACTTTCTGAGAAGTATTATAAATTAAAATTATTTAAAATGACAACAATTAAAAAAAAAAAAGGAATCACCAAAAAAAAAAACCCCAACCTAATCTACAAAATTATGAGCAGGCTGAGTTTCTAGGTGAGCAATAAAGGAAAACACACAAAATAATTGAATTCAAAAGTTTATTCCGTTAAATGAAAATATTTTTAAAAATTTTAATAATGCAATCTTTGATCAGGCCTCCTTCTTCTTTTCCCCCCTATTATTTCTCCAATTATATATATATATATATATATATATTAGTCTATATACTTATAATTTTAAGAAAAATGATTTTAATAGCTGCTGACTTGATTCTTACCCATCAAATTGTAAACGATTATGATCCTAATAATCTTTTTAATGACGATAGTAAATAAATTTTATTCTATTATTTTTTTATTTTGTAATTTGTAGTGGCTAACATATCTCTTAGCAAGCATCCACACGTCAGTCATAATTAACAAATTATGAATATAAAAATTACTGCATGTTTTTGAGAAATTGCAAGTGCCTAATTGAAAAAGAATTACAGGGGACTTGATCAAAAATCAAGTAATACTATAAAGACCGGCAAAATTAAACCCTTTTTTTCATATTTTTATTATCAAATTCATGCAGCTGAAAAGAGTAAATAAAAGTGATTATACATATGGGCGTGTGAATTTTAAAATACTATTTTTTGTTTTAATTATAAGATACTCTTCCGGTTCTTAATATAAGACTTAATTATTGAGTTGATTTTAGTTCTAAATATAAAACTTATTTCTCATATTTATCAATTTTTCCAAATTATCCCTATAAATACTCTCCCAACTATAATCAAGTAAAATAAGAAAAATGATATTATGATATTTTAAGAAAACATATCATATTTTTTATAATTAACTGACTTAATGTTATTAAATTAAATAAGTCTTCTATAAACAACTGGAGCTAGTAATAAAATAAGGATTAGTGGAATGGAATATTGATGGAAACTGGAGACAAGTGCATAATTGCTGTCTCTCGGTTGGGTTGAAGAGTCAGGAGTTTGTGTCTGCCAGGCACTGCCTTCCATGATAGCAGCATCTTCTTCCTTCATGGATAATGTTTCACGCAATCATTTTCTTTTAAATTAAATTCCTTAAAAAGTCATGGCTCGCACATCTGGAACAATTTTGATTCCCTCTAATTTCCTATTTTCATTCTTATCTTTTTTTAACGATTCTTATTAATTTATTTTTGTTGTGACGTGCCAGTTGACTTCAATATTTTTAAAACTTGTTGTGATTTATTTATTAGTACAACAAGCAACATGACACGACATGCAACAAATTAAAATAGATAGTCTTTTTTTTTTTAAAAGAAAATTAGATTGAAAAAAAATCACATTTTTTTCATTCTAATTTAAGCTTTTGCTGTTTATCATCTAGTGAGATTAATATAAATTATAAAACAGGAACAAGTTTATTGTGGGGGAAATCACACTCTAGGGCCCTGGTAGAAACATATTTATGCTTTTGGACTTTGCCTTAAAGAAATTACAATAAAACTTTGGGAGAGAAAATATCCATATATATTTTTTTATTACAATCAATTTAAACACATTCACACGTACAAAGTTAAACATAATAATATTAGGTGCGAACTCAAAACCTCATTTAAGTATGATAGATAGTATTGTTACTAAAAATTAAAAATTAGTAACGAACATGGAAAACTAAAATTTCAAATGATCCATATATTACATAGTTTTCTGTAATTTATAAGTGAAAAATATATAATTCCCAACTCTAGTTTTATAATACACAGCTGTAATTATATCAAATATATCAAATTTGAGACTGGATCGGTGAATTGGTTTATTAATTATTACTGAGCTTCATCCCATAATTTGAGTGAATTTGACATACTATAATTAAAAGTTTTGCCTTCTTTTTTTTTGGTGCATAATTACATGCATGAGTCATCACAAATTTAGATTTGATGTAGATAATTTACTATTCTTTCTGTTCTTAATATAGGACCTAATTATTGAGTTGATTTTAGTTCTAAATATAAGACATATTTATCATATTTATAAATTTTTCTAAACTACCCCTATAGATACTTCCTTAACTATAATCAAGTAGAAGAGCTAGGGAGAAAGGATATTAAGGAAGATGATTATGATGTTTTAGAAAAACATGTCATATTTTTTATAATTAACTAATTTACCCAACTTTCTTAATGTAATCAACTTAATTAAATATGTTTTATATTAAGAACCGGAGTATCATGAATTGCAGTTCCACAAATATAAATACAATACTGTCAGCACTTCTGTTATGAAATCGTTTGCTTTAAAAGATCTCCCATGAAAGAATATTTATGGAAGAACCGGTTCTTTTTCCCATATGTTTAACGACTTCACTTTTCAGGATTCACAAATCGGAGCTAATAGAAACAAGGGGAAATTTCACTGTAGGACCGCAGAAGACAAATAATTTCAAAGAGCCTCCAAAACTTTCTGAAACCTCACTGTAGGACCAAGGAACCAATCTGATATTAATTTTTACAGTGAGATTACAATAATACCCCTCCCTTTTTATTTTATTAAAAAATAAATATTTACCGGAGTTACTGTTCCGGCCACCGGAGGTCGGAGGTCCGGCCACCGGCGCTCAGGTGGCCGCCATCGGGGTCCGGTCACCGGGCCGGAACAGTAACTCCGGCGGGACCTCCGGTGGCCGGAGTTTTTTTGTTTAAAACAAAGTAGCCAAGGGAAGGTTTAAACCCAGGACCCCTTGGCACACCAAAAGACTTGTAACCACCAAGCCAAGCAACCCATTCAATCATAAAATGCAAATAAAACTATATATAACAAAATAAACGCAACAGTCCAAATGTAAGTGAACAAGTGAAATTAGACGATTTACAAGTGGAATTCAGAAATTTGCAACAAAAATTAGGCATTTACAAATAACATAATAGAAGTCATAACCCCAAATGCAAGTGTTTAAGTGCAAATGAGCAAGTGAAATTTGAAGATTTACAATAAAATTTTATGGATTTACAACCCAAATTTGGCAAACACAAGAGAATTCACAACCCAAAATATAAGTGTTTGAGTGTAAGTGAACAAGTGAAATTAGACGATTTACAAGTGTAATTCAACAATTTACAACAAAAATTAGACAATTTACAAATAACATAATAGAAGTCATAACCCCAAATGCAAGTGTTTAAGTGCAAATGAGCAAGTGAAATTTAAAGCTTTACAATAAAATTTTATGGATTTACAACCCAAATTTGGCAAACACAAGAGAATTCACAACCCAAAATGTAAGTGTTTGAGTGTAAGTGAACAAGTGAAATTAGACGATTTACAAGTGTGATTCAGCAATTTACAACAAAAATTAGACAATTTACAAATAACATAATAGAAGTCATAACCCCAAATGCAAGTGTTTAAGTGCAAATGAGCAAGTGAAATTTAAAGATTTACAATAAAATTTTATAGATTTACAACCCAAATTTGGCTAACACAAGAGAATTCACAACCCAAAATGTAAGTGTTTGAGTGTAAGTGAACAAGTGAAATTAGACGATTTACAAGTGGAATTCAGCAATTTACAACAAAAATTAGGCAATTTACAAATAACATAATAGAAGTCCTAACCCCAAATGCAAGTGTTTAAGTGCAAATGAGCAAGTGAAATTGTCGAATTTCACTTGCAAATCTATAAACTTTTATTGTAAATCTTCAAATTTTAGTTGCTCATTTGCAAGTGAAATTATCGAATTTCACTTGCTCATTTGCACTTAAACACTTGTA